GTGACTTTTTTAAAACTGTTATATTATATTATAACCAGCTTTTTAATAATTGTAGTTGTGTGCGCTGCGTTGCACGACAAGCTCAGAAGCGCAAGTATGATCTCGCTTCGTAATTATTTCCCTATATCCCTCTTTTCTTTCCATCATGTTATTAATATTCCGCATTGTGGTCACTTGTACCTGCCGTAGCATTCTTTTAGAACGTAGTATGTTTTGTAGTTGTTCCTTTCATTCGCATATTAGTGTTTTTACTCTGTTATTTTGTGTTAAGCTCCTTGCCATTGCCCTTGTTTTAATTAAATGGTCGTTTGTGTTTAAGCAAATGTCCATGTCTGCTCTATGAGTGCATCGGTCAGGCCCATACATCACCACATGTGCAATCCCGCAAGGGTCAACGAACCTGCTAATAAATTTGAGATGTGCCACTTTGAGGCCTTTCAGGCATTGCAGGCCGAAGCACAAAGTGGAAGCCTGCGAGTCTGCTGCACATTGATTGTTGGATCGGCGGGGCCTCACCCAAAGTTTGTGACAGCCAGCCTGATTTGAAACCCTCCTGTGACACAGAAGGCACTGCCATGGCTCTGAAAAAGGCACTGCCACGACCTGGCCCTTCAACAGCGTGCCAGGCAGTATAACTGTTTTGGTGTAAATCCAAGCGAGGTGATTTCTGTCACTCTCAGCAATGATATCAGCCCATTGCGAGAGCTCCTCAGAGCTGCCATCAAGGAGGAGCTACAAAAGATGCAGGTGACTGCTTCACCTGTAGGTCAGCTCTCCGTTGTGGAGATGGGACGCGCTGAACTACGACAAGCTGTTCATGCTCTCCAACAGTACGTGGCACCACAACAGTGGCACTGCATTGAAATTAGCTACGCAGAAGCAGTGCGACGTGCTCCATCGTGCAGTTTATGCAGTTTGTTGCACCCCAATTAGCGTTGCGCTCATCAAATAGAGGTAGGCTTCAGTCCTTGCAGCCTGCCATTGGTTGCCGAAGCACGACCGAGGAAGAGTGCCATATGGCGTACACCCGACCACAGGCCCCTTTGTTATCACTGCCGGGGAAGCTGGGCACGTCTACAGTATATGTCCATACTTCCGTGTGGGTCTCTGCGGATTTTCGTCAAATGCACCTCGTCCACTATCAGGCGAGCGACCACAGGAAATAGAAAGCTTCATCTCATAAAGCTTCTGTTGCAATATCCGAACATTGGTTGCACAGGCCCCACTTGTCGTCACCTACTCGCTACAGGTCACCAAGCCCAGCGTATTCATGCGGCACCTTGAGGCGCCGCTCACCCAGTCCTGCAGGTCGGGAAAACTGAGTAGAGCAACCTTTGGAGGTGAGGCCGCTGACGCTGACTGTATGAACGATCCTCCATTACGACAACAGCGACGGCAGCAAAAAGATGTATAGATGCAGTCAAACGTCGTATGAAGAGCGATAATCGTGGACAACGAAGCACCAATGGCGACTAATCAACACTAGAACAGACACTTTCGTCATGAGCATGGGCCTCGCCTGCAGGCTGAAGAAGATTTCTACCCAGTGGGCTGGGTGTCAGATTGGTACGGCAAGAGGCCATCTCCTCACTACCGTGAGACGATCCACAGCGCAAGTTGGTATTCCCGGATTTACGTATCTCGGAGATTTTGTAATACTGCCAAGTTGCTCGAGATGCCTGATTCTCGGACTGGACTTTCTGCATAATAACAAAGCTGTGATTGACTTGCAAGAGTCGCATGTGACGTTTTTCACAGCACATGCTTTAGCGTGCAACCCTCACGACAGTTACGTCAATGCTTTGAGAATTGTCGACGATGACGTCACATTACCGCCGAAGAGTAGCATGTTGACCTTGGTAACCTGCGACGTTTTGAATGAATTCAACCACTGTGAAGGTATTGCGGTGGCAAATATCCTACTGCTACTCAAACGAAACATCTGCATAGCCTGAGGCCTTGTTCGGTTACAGAATAAACGCTCTCGAGTTCTGCTGACCAATTTCAGCAATGAGTTTTGGCACGTCTCTAGAGGCACCACTATCACTTTGCTAAAATCGCCGACTTTTTCGATGTCGGCAGATTGGATAAGAGTTCGCCGGATGCAAAAGCTTGTGCTGAGCTGGGCAGCTTCAATCACGTTAATCCAGACTTGCCAGATTCACGAAAAGAGCGGCTTCTAAACCTTGTGACATAATTTTCAAATTGCTTTTCCACAGCATCGAAGGTTCAACGTACTACCGTTACCAAACACCGTATTGTCATCAAGGAGACGGCGGCCTCTTAGCCAATGTTCATACCGTGTGTCCCCAAGGAAAAGACACGTGATTAAGCATCAAGTTCAAGAAATGATGAATGATGACTTGATTCAACTTTCAGCAAGGCTGTGAGCATCGCCTGTTGTTGTAGTAAAGAAAAATGACTACACACTGCGCTTCTACGTTGAATACAGACAGCTTAACAAAGTCACAAAGCCAGACGTTTATCTTCTGCCTCGGATTGATGACACCTTAGACCATCTACGCTGTGCCTGCTTCTTTACATCATTAGATCTCAAATCAGGGTCCTGGCAAATTGAAATTGACGAGGGCGACTATGAGAAAACTGCATTTGTGACTCCCGATGGGCTCTAGGAATTTAAAGTCAATATTAAGTCCACTTATTTTCAGCCTACAAGGAAATGATATTGCCGCAGCTGTATCTACTAGCATATTTCAATATGTTGACGACACGGTCATTTTGTCCTGGCATTCTTGCTTTCCAGAAGCAGTTTACCTTTTGCAAGATGCTGCGATAAGTTTGATGAACTGGTTCGCTAATAATGTGATAATGGAAATGTTTCTAAAACACAGCTAATTTGTTTCGGTAATCCACTGGAAAAAGTCAATTTAGTAGTCTCATTGCCGGCTCACTGTTAATCTTGTTCTTCTTGCTCCTGTTCCTTTATTTGTTGAACACCTTGGTGTACTTCTCAACAGAGACTTCTCCTGGAATTCTCTTCTGGCTTACGTTTGTTCAAGACAGTCTCTCAGACATCACACAATATTAGATTCTATCAGTTCGCGAAACGATACTGCAAGCATTAGGTTGTAATGTTCACGCCATTTGGTCGCTGTGTGATTCGTTGGAAAAATAGAATAAACTCTGTCCTTCGCTCTATATTGAAAGTGATTAGCTATGATTTACAACTGCCCTCAGGGGCAGGCCTTTTAAATCACTACGATGATGTGATTTTGAAGCCCTCCTTATTGGAACGGCTGTCCTGGGGCATTTTTGGGCCAACAAATATAGGACTCTATATGTCCCAACCAAAAACCGTTCGACCCAAAAACCATTTTTGGGTTATTTGCTGCTCCGCCGGATATGGCCGGGGCACTCGAAGCTACTTGATATTACACCATGCTTCAATAAACTACCTGCGAGTGTTTTTTATGCTAAATCAAAATTCAAACTAAAGCAATTTCTTCGTTGTATTATTCTCCAGCTCTTTGGTTATACTTCTTCTTTTCCTAGGGTAAATGCATTGGCTGTATAAGAACCTAAAGGTTGCCATGTTGCATCAGGGATATGCGTTGCTTGTGGTGCACTAAAGAAAATATAATCCATGTTTTCCAAATTTTTTCTCTCTCCTTTTTATTCCTGCATGCATTATAACGATGTTATAATGCTTTGTCATGTTATTTTTCATTTTCTTGTTTTTTTTCTTCCTTCTCCTTTTTTCATCACCAATAATCATATGGTGTCCTATTATTGTATAATTGAATGTCAAGCTAGGTGATACAACTTGTCTTAGTATCAGTTTTATTTTGTCTTGCACTGCTGTACAAGCACAGCAAGGCAGGGAACCAGGCAGCTTTTCGCGTGTGCATACTTTATTTTGCATTCATACATGAATAAAAAGTGTCTGCATCTATGTGGTCTCATATATATATATTACGTCTTGTGGTCTGCTGTCTGTTGGCTCTGCCCTTCAAAAGCCCAGTGAGCTTTTGGCAGGCCATTCTTGTATTTCTGTGATGCTTTTTCAAAATGCTAATAAAAGATTAGTATTATTGTTATTAGGTACTGTTTTTTACCTGTGCAAACTTTCTGAGAAGCTGGATTTACGAATCTTTCCAACTGAAGGTTTTTTTTTAGATGATTGTTTTGAGTTGCTGTTTAGTGCACTGAACTGGTGCAGTACTAAAACCTTTTGCAGACAAATGAGGAATGCGTGCCACCTTTTCTCAGCACATTTATAGGCAGTCATTTTCAAGGGCTGCCACTTTCTAGATAACCAAGAAATTACCCTTTTTCATTTTTAAGCAAGTCTGTGTGAAAGAAAGCGTTGCCCGACTGTCATGATTGCTTTGTGTTCAGAATAGCAGTTTTGTGTTCTGAAAATTAGTCGCTACATGGTACAAGACTTTTTAAAATTTCTAATAGCTTAAGTCGCTATTTCACTTGTTTGTCAACACATGTCCTTCACATACAAATTTGTTTGAGGGGTCACTTTTAACTGACTGTTTTATCTTTCACTGGTCCATGATCTAAATTTAAAAAGCCTGTAATTAAAAATAAGCAGTCACAAACAGGCCTTGGTAAAACAGCTGCCAGACAGGACAACCAGCAGTCTGTTGTCAGTGGACCTAAGCCAAACTTTGAAAGTATCCCTGGCTCCTCCCCTCTCCCCATGAAGTAGCCTTGAGGGGTGGGGGGAGGAGTTGTGGGAAGCTTGTGAGCCCCTGTACTACATTTCATCGCTTACTTGATGCAGTCAAGTGCATGTTCAGAAATATGTTATGTCTTGGAGGAGGCAAGAGCATCTCTGAGAGCTTGTTACTCTTAATGAATAATGAAATGATATCATGCATTGGTGCAATTTAACAGTGACTAATTAAGTTCTCCATGAGAGTATACAGGGCACCAAGTTGTGAGTGCAGCACTTGTTCTGCAACTGCATTCTACACCCTTGTAATGTTCACTTTAGTGGTCTGCACTGCTTTCCTACTGATGTGCAGGTGCGAGGTTCCTGCAGAGATGCCAGTGGATTTGCGTACAAAACTGATTCTGTGCCTGGTGTACCTTGGTGGTGGCGAGCAGCTGACGGGCGGCCTTTTGGACCAGCTGCAGCGTGATGAAGACCCCGAGGATGCAGGGGATCTTTTCCTCGACGTGGCTGAAGCACTGATGGAAGTGAGGCGCGTGCAAGAGGCTCGGCCCTTGCTCCATGCGCTAGTCAACACGCGCAACTACGGAATGGTCAGTGCCAGCAATATCCAGTGTAGAGCCACAAACTTCTGATTCCAGGGGTGTCATTCTGGACACTGTCAAATTCTGAGATGTTGTCATATTCTGCCATTGATTGATGCTGATTGGCCAAGTGAGCTGCTATGACCTCTATGATTGGCTTAAAATGCCACCATTACAAAATTCGACAATACGGCAGAATTAGAAAATGTTCAGAATAGCACCCCATTCTGAGATTCTGTTGTAGATTGTTGTAGACAATAATTTTTGTGTACTCCTTGCTCTTATTTAGTATTTTAGCAGCGAAAATTTTTTGTCTTCCAGAGCGTTGCAGCTGAGGGTGAAACCTAGGTTACTGAAAAAGTCCTCAGAAGTACAGTACTGCAGCAGCGCTTTAAACTTTTGCTGGTTTCTACAAAAAAGAATCGCACTTTTTTTTATTTCCTCTTGTTGGAACCCACTGCCTTGTCTCTGAATAGGCTTTGTGGTAAAGCAGTGTGCCACCCATTTTGAAACGTCTGCTTTGTATACTTTTGGACTTGCCTGGAGTGTTTATATAATTGCTTGCACGCTAAAATTACCGAAATTGATGCAGCCTCACTGCTAGAAGCCTATCAACGCTACATTGATGCCAAAAGCGTATTTGCCTAAGACACTGCTGTTGCTGGCACTCTTTTGCTCTTCGGTGTTGTAATGTTTTTTTTTATTATTATTCGCTTGCATTGCCTGCATGGCATTGCCTTTTTCTCAGAGACCTGCTGTTGTGCAGCTTCTTTTGTGTATAACGTGTGCCATTCTTGCTGTTTTTTGTTGTGACTTACGATGCAGTGGAGGTCACCAATGTAGAAACACGGGCACTCCAGGACTTTGCTTTTCAGAAGAAGGGGCAAACCTTTAAAGCATATGTTCGGGTGCCCAATGCATTAAAAAACGGTGAATAGGCGAGGTGACGGTGGTTAACTAGTAACATATGGTTAGCTGCCTTGCAGTGCACCTCAGGTGCTTTAGCTATTTTATCAGAATCATTGGTGATATTCAATGTGGATGGAATCACCACTGACACCCGTATATCCACTTACTAAAGCTCATTTCAGGTCCTTCTGGACAGAATGTGAATCGTAACAGTTGGTTTCATGTGACAGGACTTCAGGAGTATCGTTTTATCTCAACAGAGCTTGCTACATGCCTTGACAGGTTATTGAAGCTTGTCATTCATTTCACAGTCAGCTGATTTTCAGTCGGATGTCGATTATTCAAATATATGCGTGAAAATCCACATACTTTCATGGCACAACCAGAAGAGAGTATTATGTCTGAGAACATCTGAAATTTCGGCTGTTCAAACCCTTCGCCTTTACTTTACTTTCTGCTTAAACCTTTACTTTCTACTCCCACAAAGTGGCGTTAATTAAGGCCACCACAAATGCCACATTAATCATGTCTCAGGCTTGAATCAGCTTTGCCTCACTGATGGGCTGCTATTAAGTTTTTATTAGCATTTTGAAAAAGCGTCACGAAAATACAAAATTGGCCTGCCAAATCCTCATTGGACTTGAAGGGCAGAGTCGACAGGCAGCAGACCAGAAGGCTTGAAATATATAAGACCACATCGATGCAGACACAGTTTTTTTTCGTGTATGTATACAAAATAAAGACATGCTTGTACGGCGGTGCAAAACAAAATAAAACTGATACTAAAGCAAGTAGCATCACCTAGCCTGACATTCGATCATACAATAATAGGACACCATCAGATTTTTGGGGAGGTAAAGAGGAAAAAAAAATAATAAAATAAAAAGTAATGTGACAAAGCAATATAACTAGAGGCTGGATTTATAGGCATTGAAGAACGGAGTTTTAGGTGCCGAGAATAGGCGGGCAAAACACTGTTTTAGGCCCCAAAAATTATAGATATAGGCACAATAAATTTCAGCTTGTTTAAAATTTTTGAAAAAATGTGTGGGATGTGTGTCTACATCAAGAAAGCAAAGCGAATCGTTTTAGTTTATGATGGTACAAAGGCACCAATGGTGTAGCATAGTCAGGCATTTTTTTTCCCGCAAAGTTCGCAGAATACAGCCTCTCCATTTCTAGTTCGGTATGGTGAGCCAAGTGTCATCTGTCGAATAAACACACTCCTGGGTCTCTTTTCTTTTCGGCATGGCTGTAAAGGGTAACACAGAAGCAGATATACAGAGCTGCTAATAGGCCAGAAGGGTCTTTTTCCCTCGTTGTAGCTTGGTCTAACCCCACAGCGTCAATTTCTCTTCTGTTTGTAACACCTTAAAGGGCCCTTCTATAGGTATGAGAATTTTGAGCAGGCAAGAGGAATGCATGCATTGGTTGCTAACAATCTCATCTGCCAAGATCTCTGATGATACGCACCCCAGAAAAAGGTGAAATGTCAGACCGAACGCCGCTTAACCTTTGTTTCACAGGCGCGCGCTCCGACATGGAGGGATTGGCGTATACAACAAGCAATGTTCTTGCATATGTCAAAGTAGTATGTGACACTGCAAGAATTATGGCGACGTGTCTAATTTTGGCACTCTGTTGCCTGAATAAAAGTTGTATGAAAGTTGAACAATATTAAAATTTACAAACAGAATCTTTGCGTGTTAGGTTTTTTAACTTCGTATTGAGAGAGAGGGGAAACAAGTTGCCTCTATTTTGTATGTATTGGTGTTGCCTCTATTTCATATGCATTGGATTGTGCCGGTGCCAGCATTCAGAATGTTTGGCATGTTTTTGACACATCATCCCTCAGAGCAGATCCAGCGGTGCGGCAATGTGTATCGTGGTTAGGATACCTAGTCTATGCCAGCCTTTCCAAACGTGCACCCATGAAGGGATTCATCCCACAAAAACAGGCAGTGCAATACAGAGAACGTCGAATTGACACAACACCACTTGCGTGCACTATGGACATGTGATGCGAACGAAACCTTGCGTGCGCAAGAAGTGTTGATGCATCTGCGTCGGGTGGTCTTCCAGCTTCGAGTTGCTGCAATACCAAAGAGGGCATGCACGGAAGGAATTAGGCTTAGAGAGAGAGAGAAGTTGAAATGAGAGAAATGCTGAGAGGTTGGCCTGAATCATTTTTCTGACCTGCCACTCAGCGTTAGGTAAGAGGGTGGTAAACAAAGGTGTTGATGAAGATGAGTGAGATGACGGATCAAAAGCTGAAAATCAAGGAGTTAGAAAGGCAGAAAGAAGGAATCTGGAATTAGAAGACAGTAGGGAAGGAACCGGACGAGTGGCAAAAGCTTCAAGCTCACCTCCTCCCATCGTGCTTTCGCGGCTTGTAATTAAAAAATTGTAGTCGTACAAATCTTTTAAATGGGCACGCAGCACCTTGCACTGTCTAAGTAAAATTTCTCATGTGGCCTAGTGAAGCGCCGTTAAGGAAGTAAATGACAAACTAAACAAAAACCATGTCGACACTCGACTCGACACCTTTTTTTTATCTACGCTTTACTTTCTCTTGATTGCACTCCACCGTTTTGCCTTAGTTATTCATTGTCCTGCGGCTGCACAAAAGCACCTCCTATTTCCTGTGCATGTGAGCAGATGCCGGGGAGACGCCGAGCAGACAACATGATGTGAATGAATACATGTGTATAGGCTAATGAGACTTCCTATTGGCTAAGAGGCCTTGTAGACTTGACAGTGTGGGAATAAACTTATCAGATGGAGTATAGGTTGCACGCCATAAAATTCCATAAATACTTGGAATTTTTGAGTATGTGGTAATTGGATCGAATACGAATATTACAGATGCAGTATTCGACGAATATGCAAAACTTTTGAATACTTGCACACCCCTATCCCAAACAAATGCTTTGGAATAAGCAATTGTAAAAAAGTACGAATGAAGTTGTTTTCAGCTGTGTTCGTTCTTAGGTATTTTGCCTCACACTATGTTTTTTGCATTCTACGTGAATGGAAAGCACAACAGAGCTCAACTTGTGAACACTTCTTATTCGGCACCTTTAGCTGACCAATTTTGCGCTCTGTTCCCCGCTCCACTCAAACGCTCAACGTTACAGGGGCGCAACGCAAGTTTGCGGTTTCAGCCAAGCATCGTTCGGTCAACGCAATCGTGATGCCACCAAGATAGAAAGTTCTGTCTTGAAAGAGCGTGAATTAATTTAGAACATTTTTATTGTTTGTTATGTTCGCACGGAGCTGGACTACAATGGAAACCTTCAAGGCAGGCCAAACGTGTTTCAAATGTCCTGCCCTGAAGTAGCGTATTCACTGCGTTGCCTTGTGACAGATCAAACTACTAAGCTTTTCTGAATAGGTGGAAGAGTGGCTGCTGTTAAAATCTAAGTTGTTTCGATTGTGACATAAAATCGCTTACTATGGAAGATTCATCAAGTTTTTTTAGCGGGAGTACCAAAGAAGCATCTCCAGATGCTCCTTTATGGTATGAAGTGTCAGCGCTAAATCGTTTCGTGAAACTTTGCCCCACGTGCATGGATTCTCAAAGGAATTGGCTGCGACGACTTCTCGAAAGGGACACAGATCCTTGTCTTTCCTGAAGTTACATCGGTGCTTGCATGTTTGCCGAACAATCACTGTGTGTCCTGAGCATTGCGAACTCTCGGCACAGGAAATGCCATTTTGGTCGTTTCTCCTCGCGTCACGTGATCCTTAGCTTGCTACGACAATACGTTTACACGCTCAGCACCTGACCGTCTAGCACATGTGCAGTGGCACAACCACCGACTGGCCGAGCGGAATGGAAGGAAAAATACGGTGAGCTAAAAGTGCCTGTTATTTTCTCTAGATTGGTTAAACACCGCTTCATTTCACCTCATCAAGTCTCCCCTGTGCTGTCTTCATTAAAAAATTTGTTGTATCAAGTGGTGCATATGTAGTTTGTCACCGTAATCAAAGCAACCCACGTTGGGATTTGTGAAGGTGCCACCAACACTGATGTACTTGAGTGCCCTTCAGATGCTGCACAATGTCAACACGCTTTCAATCGTACAGTATCGAAGATGTTATCAAAGTTGTAGCTAGAAAATGAATGGAACATGTTTACAAGCTCTTTCAAGTCAAGGCTAGGTTAGACCCTAGCGATCAATGCAGCACATGAACATTACTTTGCGAAACCTTCATCATTTGCGACTTCACTTGTTGCCGAAGGTCTGTGAGATGGTGGAATGAAGTTAGCTTTCATAAATTCAGGAATGAAGAGCTTTTTTCTTTTTTTTGTAATGTGGCAATGTTGAGCATAGACAGTCTGAGTGTAAATAGCGCAATCAGTGCTGGCTCAACTCTTGCTGTGAGTCTTCATTTCGTGAGTTGGTGGGTCTGTAATATTCTACTCTAATGTATGGTCACGAGCCTAAACAAATGTTATTAGGGGGTCGTGACGTTGATGAAGGCAGAGAACGCTTATCCAAAAATGAGAACTGTTTACCGGCCACAAGTTCAGCCACATAAACAGTTTTCATTTTTGGACAAGCCATCAATACTGCCTGGCAATATAATGTGCCAAAAGACACCCCCAAGCTCGCCTGACTGAGGCAAGGAACTGTGCTGAAACAACTTGTACAACTAACATTGCTGCTTCGGCACGAATAGATTCATTACAGCCTTGATATCTTAGGAAAAAAAAATGCTGCAATGTAAGTTTTGCAGTTTGAGTGGTAGTTCAATTATTGTGGTTTGATGCTAGATAAATCGTTGCCTCGAACCAGCACGGTGTTCAGCCCGGTGCACAAATCGAAAAGCATTTAAGGCTCGCACCAAACGCACATGTGGTGTGCGTTTCTTTTTTTTGTCCTGCGTTACCTTTTGCACTCAAAGTTGGTACAGAAGGCATCCCAGAAGTGTTGGCACGAGCTTCGTATGCATATCTGCCAACTCTACCGATTTTCTGAAAAAATGTACGAATTGCTACCACACTTACGATTTTACTAATCTTGCCTAAAATCTTACGAAACTTTTCATTTCGGATAAAAAAAAATAAAGCGTGGCCTCCGCCATTCGCTACGGCGCATTGCCATAGCTAGTCGCGGAGACGACAAAAACGGCATACGTATTGGTATTATCATCATCACACACCTGCCAAGTCTCCCGCATTGTCCGGGAGACTCCCGAATTTTGACCATTTCTTCCATTTGTACAATTGCCGTGAAATTCTCTTGGAAATCGAAATTGGTGTGCGAGATCTGGCCTCAATGACAAAAATGCAGGTCAGTCCGTTCTAAGCTTTTTGCGACCCACCTCATTTAATTATAAACGAATTTGAGAGGCGTTCATCTAAACCTACAGTAGAGTCTCAGTGATGTAGAACCCTGGCAGATGGGAATTTGTGAAATTATCAGATGAATTCATGTGTCCATAGGGCCAAAGTTCGAAGGTTCCGAACACCTTTCCTGATCGTGGCATGTGATATGAACTTCAGTATCGAAACCGTCAAACGGAGGCCAATCGAGAGCAGCGTGCTCGAAGTTTTGAAAGTACGCGTGCGACCAGCGCATGCACTGTCTTTTACAGTGCATGTGGTTGTCGTTGCCACAACCGCTGTGGACGAAACCGCAGTCGTTCGACACGATCATGTATGGCGAGGACGTTACTGACAGAACTCAGGAAGTGTGCGTGTGGCTAACACTCGACCAATCAAAGCAACGCTGCTTTCAGCAAACTCTGCGGACAAAGCCGCGGCATGTGCGATCATGAATATCGAAACGACTTAGTTTTTAAGGCACGTGGATATAAATTAAACTATCGTTTGCTGAAACCGTCGCCCACAAAACTGCGATCGCAGTGATGTGATAGTGATCTACAAGCTCTGAGGGCACGTGGCTAACGCAGCAGTAGATTAAAGGCAGTAAAAATGTAAAAAAGGCTAGAAGTCCTTCGGCGTTCCTGTCCAAAGATTATAGTAGCGAGCGAAACCAAAGCTTGACCCGTGCTTTCACGGCAGCCAGTTGCACCGTCCCGTTCGTTCACGTGTGAAGACATACACAAGTTGTCTTGACAGAAATCGATTCTTTTACTGGTAGTCTTGATGACGCAAAATTTCGGGAGCATTTGTGCTCCCCCTTTGAGACTCTCACCTTAGTGGGAAACCCTATCCTTGTGTGTTCGGACACTCCAAGCCATTATGAGATCGCAACCACGATGTTTGCGCTTGCGTTTGGGACCCCCCAACCCCTTTTGTTTATCATGATGTCTTTTTTTTTCGTTTTTTTTTGGGGGGGGGGGGGGCGAAACGGGGAAATAATTCAACGCGTCGATTTGACTTATGGCGGCAAAACATGATCATGCGTCACTAAAGCCAATTTTATCACAGCTACAAATAATAAAAAAAAAGTCGGTACTCCTCCCCTCCCCTTCCCCGCTTGGGGTTTTTACGAATTTCTCTGTTGCCAGGTTGGCAGGTATGTGTATGTGACATGCCACACTGCCACACAAGACTATGCTCCACGCAGTAGCAACTTCAATGAAGTGGTGGTAACTTTTGTACAGCAGCACACTGTTTACGCATGCACATCTATCGAGGAAAATTGGCCACATGGTCTTTGTTTTTCGATGTCTTCATTTCAGAATGCTTTTTTATAGAGCAGCCATGAGAAAGAGCTGTAATTTTTTTTTGTGCTTTGCTGGTATTGGGAAACTCTTTAAGAGATGCAAATTACCAATTATTGGTCAGCACGCCATAAAAATGTGTTTCTCAGCAGGTACTGAAGATAGTATTTACAAGAACCTGTGCAGGCACTGAAATGGTTTTTAAGTGTACTGGTGCACATTGAGAGCTCATTTGATGTGATTGCGGTGATCTTACCACTTGAGTGACATAAATGTGTTGGTTTTCTTTCTTTATTTTTACAGTTTATAATGAAGTAAAATAACCGAGCATGGACTATAATTAGCAAATTTTTCAGTTATAATCAAGTTAATTGCACAAGGTGGCATGTCATAAGCTGAGCAGACATCATTGCTCCTTCATTGAAAGGCAAGAGAAAGTGAACTTACTTGTGTTACTCCTTTGACAACAGGCAGCGGTGTGGCTGCGTTACGGGGAGTGTCTGCAGCAGCTGGGTTGCCTGCGTGAGGCGACCAGTGCATACGAGCGCACGTGTGAGCTGGCACCCAGCCATTCTCAGGCACGCCTGGCCCTGTGCCAGCTGCTCTTGGCCCAGGGGCTCACAGAGCGGGCCATTGCATGCCTCGAGTCAGCTGATGCCCCCGAGCAAGGAGCGATGGGAGACGCAGATGTGAGTGCTTCGTCAAAACGTGGCTGCCACTCAAGTTGCTTATGGCCCCATTTGCATCCTTTCAGTAACAAACCGTTGCATGTGCACCTTGGACCAGTAACTTGTGGCAACATTTATTCTTCTTTATAGCTATGCCATATTTACTCGCATAATGATTACACTACAATGTACGTACTTTTTTGCACAATATTAATCAAAATTCAACAGTGCAATCATCACACTGGTCAATATTTCCATGAAAAAGATTTTTGGCATCAAAAACGTTAACAAGTTGCTGCTCTGAATGCTTGCGATAGCTGTCATGAACACAGCCAAGAAATTCACCATCATGAACCCAGAACAACGAGCCCAAGCTTCTACACTTGTAAACTACCATAAGTGGAACCCCGATTATATGAATTTCAGGGGACCACGCAAAACTGTTGCATAATCCAGGCATCATATAATTAAAAAAATTAGCGGACCCTAAAGCTTTGCCTTTACAAGTTGGAACGTGATAGCGATATCTTGTTTCTAGTGCGCACTTGAAACACTTATTGCATGAAAACTTTTCGAACTTGCTGTGCACTCACTACGTGGCCTTAAGGAAGTAGGCGCAGTCGCATGTGTGCCTTTTGTAGAGGCTGATCTGCTTTAAAACACTAAGCCATTATGATGTGAGCGGACGAGATGGGCCGAAAGGGAGGAAAAGCTTTTAATCGTTAGAAGGAAGGCTTAATACAAGCAGTGCGTTCGATGCTCTCCACTCTTCGCCGAGAACTGCGGGCCGACACCCAGGTTTGCTTGACCTTCTTCTTGAACCCACTATCTCTGGAGCTGGAGCTCACATCCCACACTACCTAGAAGTCCAAGTCCACGTGGAAAAAAAAAAAAAAAAACTACTCTTGTGTAGATACGTCAAAGTCCTGCAGATGTCGAGGTTGCGTACGATGATGCTGGAGTCTTCGACATTGAGGTTGGGCTGAGGCTTCATGTGCGCATGAAGGTAAGTTGTGTGCGTCTACAAGATCAGGGGGGTCATGAGCTGGGACATGTACTTCTGAAGGGGACTCATCCGAGTTTGGAGTAGGTGTCATGACAGGACAGAGTGGAGGTTTCGTCTCGTGTGGAAACTGGTCTTCTTCGCTGCTCTGTCCCGATGATTTGGTTGTCATATTGCTCAAAATCGTCAATTTCTTGTCCGGGAGTTCAGTGTGTGTGTGCTTGTTTTCTTGGAACTATACTTGGGACTGTGCATCTGCCAGTCTTTTTTGTGCTTGTGCTTCTTGCACGGTTTCTTGCGGTTGGAAGAGCCCAATGTTGTGCCACTCTTTTCGGACTACAAGCTTGTCTCACCACCGTTCGAAAAGTGAGACTTGGAAGTGGACTTGAAGGCATTGGGTGACGGTGTTGACCACTTTTTTTTCTTGCTGTTTTTATGTACTTTATGGGGCACGTTGGCAGGGGTCGGCTTTGACATTTGTGGGCAAAATGCAAAGAAGCAAGTTGAGAGAGGAACTGGATGTGGCACGTATGCAGGCGATTGTTCCGTGGAGGACACCATTGTGACGGGGACTGCAAGTGACGGGTGCACAAGAGCAGGCATTGGCTGAGGCACTATGGGTATTGCACAATAGTTTGACAGCACTGCAGCATCTTTGCTAGGCTGCGCAACATTGATGCCATTGAGTTGCTCTTCGCAGACCTTTAAGAGCTGCAATGTCTTTGGGATGGTGATGGACACGTGGCAGGTTACCTCTGCAGTCTGGGGCACAGGTGGAAGATCAGCTGATGGCACTGCCTGTGAGAATGCTTTGTTTCCTTGTGCACTTTTCATGTCGCAATTAGAGTGGTGAGCAGCTACAGTGTCTATTTTGTCGTCGTTCTCAGACGGTGAATAGTCAGTGGCAAGGTCCGTGCCGTAGGCTTCGCTAGGATGCAGTCCAAGCAAATTTCTGTAGCTGTGATGTGAGGGCTCGCTTTTGCACAAAGGTTTACAAAGGGGTACATTCCCATCAAGGGGAAATGATCACTCGACCATGGTGTAATCGAATTTCACCACAGGTTTTACCAATCGCTTGCATGTTCGACACATCTAATATCTGCAAAACTCTGCTTAGAGAGCTACAGCAAGCTGCCTACTTACTATCTCTGAACGCTGGTGAAATGTGCAGAAAATATGTGTCAGCCTGCTTTACTTTAGCTTGCCATTTAAAGCTGTATGGTCACTCGGGTGGGCACAGCAGCCTTTAAATGCCCACTTTTCTAGTTATCTAACTTTGCAAGTGTTTTTCAATGCTTTATAGGGGCAGGATGTGTGAATTTTTGTTATTTTTGCATACAACGCAAAAGGTTAGCAACACTGCATTGCTTTAAATACTCAAAGAAAATATAATGTAGTAAAACTGAAAAAGAGAATGGAGTGTTCAGAAAATACAGTTACCAATGCAATCGTTCAATTCTATAAGAGCTCTACAAAGCATTTATTATTAGCTGCTCATGTTTGTCATACATGGTGGTGGTGGTAACAACTTTATTATTAACTCCGGCAAATTTGTGACCTGGGCCTAAGCTGCCCCCGAGGAGGACCGGAGACCCTGTCTCGTCGCCGCGTCGCGGGCTTGCTGGTCGGCCCACAGTTGATCCTGAAGGTTTGAGCTGCGCAGTGCAGCTGTCCACCACGCCACAGCCTCTTCTGGCGAGTCTGCATTTACTTCTGCTAAAACTGCACATTCCCAGAGAGTGTGCCTAAGTGACGAGTGAGTCCAGCCGCACAATTTTCAAGCATCATCTGGATAGACATTTGCGTAAATCCTCTTAAAATTAATGGGGTTGGGGAAGGTTTGGGTTAGCGATTGCCTTCAAACTACCGCTACAGATCTGTCTGGTTTGAAGCTTGGTGTTGGATAAATATGCCTAGATTTTTTATAAAAGTTCGTAAGTTCGAATTATCGCGTCATTCTATTCCTCTCTGTCCAGCCCTCCACAGGATGCCCATCCCTTGAAGAGGACCTTTTTACGCAAGCCCGGAAAGTGAGATTTCACGCTACCAGCGCTGCAGCAACTATAGTCGCTGCTGTGTTGTTTTGTCCTCTCAGGGGCTGCACGGTTTTTTCAATGTTTGTTGGACCATGCCAAGCCTACCTTGTCGTCTTCTTGTTGCTAACAGCCCTGAGTTCCAATTGCTGCCAGCTTCCTTGAGTTGGCTTTCGCAAGAGCAGTCACTAGGGCATAGGTAGAATCTATCTGGAGCACTCACGACAGTTGTGCATCTTTGAAGCCAACAAGGAATATGTTGCGGATTGTTCGCTGTCAGAATTCTGTAGATTCACAGAGGTCAGCAAGCTCGTGCAGGGTGGTCACAAAATTGCCCATGCTTTCTATGGGTTCTTGCTTTCAGGGGGGAGGAGGAAATGTGTGCTTTTATTGACTAAATTTTTCATGGCCACAAAGTGGTCATCAAACTTTTTTTCACAGTCTCGCAGCATCAAGTCTGCTCTTTGGTAAGGCCAAAAGCCTGAAAACTTTTCCTGGCTTGGTGCACAAAAGCATTCGCACCTGAGCTTTCTCCGTTCTGTCGTTGAGCTCCAACGGCATCGGACGACATGATCTATTCTGGCCATTCTGAAGTTCACTCAAAGTTGAACGGCGTCGGGGGTGGCGTGCCTGCCACTGGTAAAGCTGCCGTCATGCATGCCGAACACAGCGTGAGTGTTGCAATGGGAGCTAAGAATGGGAGGACCATCCCACTTCTGACACCATGTTGTATCCGCTTTTAGCCGAGTGGAACGATGTGCTTGAGACGCCACTCCGATGTCACTACCTAAAGGAAGCCCCGTGTTTATTCACAACCGCCTTTAATCACTTTACACTAGTGATCTCATAGTGTTGCACCCTAGTCCTTAGTCCGAACAGAGGTAAATATAATGCTACAATAATGGCAACACACTAATGCCAACAGCAATGGCTTCAACCCATTGCTTGGGGAGTCTTTATTGGTCAGAGAAACTGCCATTTATTGGAAGCATATTCATATTCGGGATTAACAGTTCATGCTATAGCTGTACTATGTGTTTTTCTTTTTTTTAACGTATGAACACGCTGTTTTTCTCTTTTGCACTAGCAAATAGTTTTCAAAAAGAAAGCATTGGTAGTTGTTTATATTGCCACCATTGATGAACGAGCCGCTGTGGCTCATACTCGTTTTGGGTTGCGAAGAAGAAGAGAACATTTTCATTGCTCTGGTTCAGGTGAACTCCTGGCTTCAGGTCTCGTTTTGCTCGTGACATTACTGGTGGAGGTGCTGGGTACGTGTACTTCACTGTGTCGGCCATCGTGGAGACAGCTACATCTCTCAGAGCAAGAAGCAGCCGCCGCCTGCGTGTGTTACCCCCTGAATTTGGTCCCTTGGCATCGAAACCCAGAAAGATGGCAACTCCGATGACAAGCCAGGCGGTCCAAACCAGCGATGCCCATGGTTCTCTTCTCGCTCATGTTTTTCACGGGCCACAGACACCAAAGCCGTTCCATGGAGACATCTTCCAGGATGTTGATGACTGGCTCGACCACTTTGATCGGGTTGCCAGTATCAACGAATGGGACGATGTTCGCAAGCTGCACCGAGTTTACTTCTACTTGGAGAATTCTGCGAAGACGTGGTACGAGAACCACGAGGGCTCCTTTGCAATCTGGCAAGAGTTTAGCCGTCAGCTCCGTGACGCCTATCGCAACACTGAGAGGAAGGAGAGGGCTGAACAAGCCATATCCTGCAGAAACCAGCAGCCGAACGAACGAGTATTCATGTTTGTCTAGGACATGCTTCGTCTCTTCAAGCGCGCGGACCCTGCCATGCCCGAGGAAAAGAAGGTGCGGCATTTGATGCGCGGAGTAACAGAACGGCTTTTCGCTGGGCTCGTGCGCAATCCACCGACGACAGTCGCCCAGTTCATCAGTGAGGCGACCACTATGGAACGTACGCTGCAGCAGCGGTCGTCACAATACGAATGCCAGATCCCGGCCAC